AATAATGGAGCGAAAACACAACCATATTAAAGGGCTAATCAAGTCCTAATTATGGAGTGACGTCACAAATATATTTTGACGTAAGCTTTCATAAATGGATACCCTACACAAAACTGAACAACTTGAATATTGAATCTTTGTTTGTGCTGGTGAGTATAACGATACTAGGCCTATATGCATTGTTCACATTAAGATGTTGAAAGCTAAATTCAATTTAAGTTGATTAGAATTTATAACCATTGTCAAGGAACGTATGGTTTATGCTATATTTATAACATTTGTGTGATAGCCTAGAACTGTAATTTACACTGTAAACGTTGAAAATTTAATATTTTCACGTCAAATATAAACATAACGTACAGTCTTATGGACACACAATTATATAATTTAGTAATTGTGTACCCATAAAATTGTACCTTGTGCTAATATGCCCAATTGCTAAATGTCTATCAAATACCGGGTACGTTATACTGTTTTATAGCTAAATACGTTATAGGCTATATCTTGCATAGACAAGAGCTCTAAGCAAGGATGTCTTAAATTGTAGAATATGAACATTATTTCTTTGCCAAAATGGTTTATTGTAGTGGTGAATGGGAACAGTAATATGTGGAACTAATAAAAGTTCAATAGCCATTTTGGTTTAGAACCCTGACTTTAGTGCGGAAGAATATTATCTAAATAATTCTTCTTTCACATGGAATAGTTTTGAAATGATTTCCCATTTTCTGAGTAGGCAAGAATTCTCCATTTGTTTATATTGATTGATAGGTCTAATGGTACTCTCTCCCCATTCTCCATCATCTACCTACGTATTATTTTTTCTGAGCATATGTTTCGTCGGTATTCACAACAAGTATCAAGTCATTAGCAACCTAGAATTATTTTCCTTTCATTGAACTAAACCACATCATGTTTCATACCATGTTTATTTTTTCCTCATGTGGTTTACCGGAAAGGAATGTTCAGCATTACGCACTGCCATTCACAAAAACCAGATCGTGTATAACTTGCATTAAAAACATATGGTGTTATGGTTCTATACAGGTACACATATACTTTAAAGGAACACCGCATAAGCTCAGTCTGAACAACAGAACCACTCCACCTACTGTCATTTTTAGTTTTCGAGCCATAGTTTCGTACACACAAGACTTACATTTCCTTATTATCTTTCTTTTTGGATTATAAGATTCAGCAGTAATTCGATTTTATCATTTTATTATCGTATGTTACCGACATTGAATAAGATAAGACTGAGAGATAATTCATTTCTTACATTCTTGCTATCATGTGATAATTGACAGACAACACAGTCAGTGTTCCACCAGAACCAGAAGATATAAATTATATTATAACGACTGATCCCTGGTAACCCGGTCCTACTAATCACCAGGAACCGTCAAAAGCGATTTTGGTCCATTTCACTTATCCATTATTTAACTTGTGAATATGGTGTGTAGATTTATAATTTTTAACTTTCCTTTTCGGTCACTTTTTGCAATATGTTTGGACGATGTTGACAAACAGCTCTTTTCGGTTATTGACGATGATTAGTAGGTCCATGAGAACCCAAAAGTTTTTAGTAAAGTTAAAAACATAATCGAGAAGATCGTGCATTCGACCAGGCTTAACATCCCTTTAAAGGCTCAATACCACTCTTGTTGTAACTGAATAATATGTCCCAATCTTTATTCTGATCAACAAATTGTACTATTTTAGAATATTTCAATTAATTGACGATACAAATTTCATCTTAACGTCTAACGTAAACCTTTTCAAATGAAACTTCGATTTAAAAATATTTTCGAAATCTCTGGACAAGTAAAATAGGATTTAATGGATAATTTACACAACAGGTAGGACACTAACACATCTAGTACTTAGAATAAGGCTATTTTTTTATTTTCTGGGGCTGTCAAGCCAGCAAGAGTGTTATTGTCCCTTTAATGTAGATGTGATTCAGTTAGATAATACAGGTAGCTTGATGTTGTTGTTTTATTTTGGGTATTGATAACGGTATACTCAACAGCTGCTAATGAAATACATGCATCCTTTCATCAACTATCATAAGTTTACCCCTCAATGAACATCATTTATATTAAAGCTTATCGAGTTGCTACTATGGGAAAAACAAACATTTAAAATATAAGTTTTATTCAAATTGTCAACAATTATATTGCATAATAAATATAACCACCCTTTATAAAACACCTGTTATGTTTTTCTACCAATATATTTCAGTGAAAACAAATATTTAAAAAAAAATGATATCCAACCCCGACGTCTATTACAAATATTTTAAATGGCTTTTATGCTTCTTTTCATATAATCAGTTGTTCGCCGTGATTTCTACTCAGTTTGACATTTTGGTTTATCTTCGTATTTTACGTAATACTGATGGAAGATAAAGACATATCTTCATACGGTTTCTAAGCCATTAAGATTGAAGGAATTTGGATAAACCATTTTGAATGTTCCAAGCTAAATGTGACTCAGTAAATATTCCCAGATGTGTGGAGTCTGGTACCTTTGTTTGTCTGGAAATATAAACTGTTATTTTCCTCGGGGCAGCCAGTCTTATACAGTAGCATGGTATTTAAACAATTGTATTTCTTGCCGTGGGGAATGGACCTACACGATTGAAACTTTTGTCTGAAAAAAATTATGTCTACCTCTGCCAGTATTGATTGACGCCAACATATTTCTTAATGAATGAATGAATGAATGAAATGAGGTTTAACGCCCTACTTTTCTGGCCGAGAAAGTTCATCGGGATTTTCAGGAGTGGTTTCCCCTTGTCAATCGTGCTGGAAGGAGAGTCTGTCATTGGACAGCTGTCTAGTCGTTCGGATGGTACAAAAACCCGAGGTCCCATGTGCACATTGATGTGCACGTATAAGATCCCTTGGCAGTTGGAATTCGATATAAGAGTAGGCCGTAGTGCCGCTGTCCAGGCGAAATTTCCCTCATAGCACACTGTATGGCGCATTCCCATTTTCATTAGCCCAGTCGGAGCAGAACAGTAGGACGTTTTAAACCTCGTTTCATTTCTTACTTTTCCGCTTCAAACGGGCTAATGACGATGGGCATTCCCGGACAGCAAATGAATTCCTACTGTCAAGTACTGGCCTGGGTTTTTCGATTCATCTGAACGACTAGAAACTGTCCATTGACAGACCCTTCTTCTTTTATTAGTTTGGTAAGGATATAATACTACGCTCTTGTATTAATTGTTTGTTCTTTCTAGTTTTGTTTTCGTATTTTTTGATGTTTTGTTGTTTGTTAGTAACAGTTTTACTATTTTTGTATCGTAAATTGTTGATAGGAGAATGATGGCCGTCAGAGTATAGATTGTATGTAGACGTATTTAATATGTGGCTAGCGTGTGGAAGTCATTATTCTTGACAATCTGTCAAAATGTCAATAAACTTGTTATTTAGTATCTGTTCGTTATCTTGACCAGCAACTGGCTTCTTCAACGTCTAATAGAACTATAGATTATTATAGAGAAGTACCCATATTTTGTACATATAGGCGTGGTGCGTTATAACTGGGAATATATATTGGTATTGCTGTATTGTTCACTGTGTATTTTGATAAGGACGGAACAAGACGATCGTAGAGTTAAAGATGAAGTGATCATATATTTATTACAAGGAACACAGGAACATGATATCATATAAAGCCCTCTTCTCTTTTTCACTTCCTTCCTCTCTCGCTCCCAATAACTATCTGATAGCTACGTATTGCTTTTCGGATTCTCTAAATGAATATGAATAACAGATAATATTTTGTCATTGACAGTGTACAAATGTCAACAATGCCACTCTCTGGTAAAATCATCCATATACCTGTAGTCCCATTTTGTGTTTCATTGTGCATCGTCAATTATACATTTTTTTCGTGAGTCGCATCTGACGAAGTTTTCGATTTCCCGATTAAATGACCCCAAATCTTTGTAAGTTTTCTTTTAAAACTCAGCATGATATGAGTTATCACAATTAAGTATGAAAAGGTGTGTTTCCCTGATTACAGGTTGTGTATATTGCACTATAGATTACACATGCTATGCTCCACTTGATACTTACTCGGTTCACGATTCATAGCGGTATCACTTTTAATATCTTTTTAGTTTGTAACCTAATTACCTTGTGTACAAATTGTATTTTAAATGAAGAAGATTGTTTAACGATATATAATGTCTGCAAATTGTGGCTGTTAGATAGATAAACTATTGTACCTGTTGCGCCTGGCACTGTTGCAGAAAGTTGACTGAACCACACTTACATTATTGCCGGTATTATAGGGAAAAAAAAACTTTAAAGCATTATTTATTTTTATTTTTTGTGCGGCGTTTCGAAGAGTAGTGAATTTGTGTATTTGTAATCAATATATCGGGGAAAACGCGGTGGCTCAGTGGGTATATAAACGCTACATGGGGCAGAAAAGGAGGAAGTTAAAAATCCAATTTCGTTTCGTTTATGTACAAAAAAAAGTCTTACCCAAGACAAATTTAGATACTAATTAACCCTCCATGTGTTTTGAAACCCCGTGGGCGATATGGGTTGTTTTAAATTTGATTTATTTCAAGGTGCATTAATATTTCTAATCTATAACATTTGTATAATAAACACGGAGCTATAACCTATCCTTCAATCGGCACAATTTAATAAGGCGCCTCAACGGAAACGGTAGACATTTGTGCAGCCTTTTTTATATTAGTCCTTAATGCAACATGAAAGGTATCCCCTTTCAATTAAGATAGCCATACGACGATCTAGTTCGTGAGAAGAAGAAAGATAATTCGTCTCAACACTAACAAGCTAGATCTGTTTCAGGTTTTTTGTCTGTGTTACTTTTTAAGGAGGTTTGTTATCTAGATTTTTTTTGCATCTTTATTAAGTTAAGAATCTGTTATAAACCCCTATGTGTATTAATAGCCAATTGAAATCTCAAAATGTCGACTTAACATTGAATCATTCTACTTTACTTTCTAGGGGTTGACTGTACCTTAAGTGTAAACTTCTGAGCATATTAATTGGAATATTAAGGTAAGCCTACTCTTGAAATATGAAACATCATCTTAACCCTTGTCGTCTCTAATCTATATTCTTTCAAGTTTTCAGAAGATATTTAATTATTTGAATAATTTATATTCGCCCTTGTGAATAGGGGTATTTGTTGAAAAGGTTGCCGGGGTGGGGGGGGGGGTGATATGGACATCTTATAGAGTTATGACCCTTATTTTCTTGTTAAAATCGCGTGACCGTTCCTGTCATACGATTAATATGCATTATTATGACTGGTCTAACGACGAATCCTGTCGAATTTTAACAATTCTGATGAGTGCTTAGCAATTATTCTTGATAATATACAATATGAATCATTTTCTTTTTTTTTTTACCTCGGACACTTTAGCTGCTGGGGTATGATTCGTTGTCTGCCAACCTATCTTACAAACTTTTTGCGCGTAAGTCATCGTTATTTATGGGTTGATTTTTGTGTATTAAGTCCAAAGTTATCCAAGGGGGTTGGATTGCTTAGTGGTTAGCACTACGTGACAAGGAGTAGGGTCGGCTGTCCAACCTCGTGGGTTTTCTCCGGGTCCTCCGGTTTCCTCCCACTGCTAAAGACCCCTACCCGCAAGCGAATTATGGAAATAAAATTGAACCATATGTTAGTCCTGAAATGACCTAGTTTGTGTCGAGTGGACGTTAAACCCCATTTCTCTCTCTCTCTCCAAAGTTATCCAATCATGGCGCGCCTTTATCGTGTACATTATATTTTTATTTATAAAAAAAAAGAAAGCCAGAGTTTACTTAGAACCTTCGTTAAGGTATATCGATTGCAATTCGAAATATCTCGATTTCTGAAGACCACACCAGGCATGAATAAAACCGTTTAGTTCATCTTACATCTTGCTTCCGGTTTTTATTTTTGTAACCTTCTAAACATCCATTTTGTGTTTTATATCTTGCTTTTATCTCTGACTAGAAGAGTGTGCACACAAAGGCCGCAAAACGTCTGCCAATGTGAATATTTAACCCAATGACTTGGGTCTTTGGAAGCGAATAAAAATCGACTCGAGGTTTTATACATATGTAAGTCAGTCCACAAATTAATATTTTTTAATATCTCAATAAATTTCAAAAATAACAAATTTTATGTTATTTTTTATGTTTCGGGAGCCACAGTGGAGCAGTGATTATGGTCATCACTCACTTATCATCGATCCCGCCAATGTTGACCGAGACAGAACCTCGGAATTCCCAGCTCGTGTTCTCCTTGCATGGTGCAGGAAAACGGGCCTGACAATGAAAATGTGCATAGTCGCTCTGATCGGACAAAAAACAAAAACATACATGTACTAGGTCCACCGTGTACTCGTCAGTTTGCATCTAAAAGAACCAGTAACACACTGCAGAAAAGTAACATGATAAATCTCCGGTCAGTTCATTTCTAGGGCATAATTTCAAAAATAATTCAGTATATAAACACAAGTCAAATTGTATAATACTCTTATAGACTGTATTTTGAACACTAATTATGTAGGGGAATTTGGCATTGTAACATTCATATGGTTATAGATACGATTTGTACTTAAATGTATGTTATACTTCTTTAATCATTTTTAAATGTTTACCAAGAAACACCAGGAAAACATTAGAAAAAACACTTTTAATATCAACCGAAAATGTATTCTAAACTAGAAACAGTATTTCACGAAGAGTGTTTATCTATATGGGGAGATCTTCTAGTTTTATCAGTACAGCCTAAAGCCGGTGCTATATTCCATATATCGCAAAAAAAAAGAATAATTTTAAGTTATGTGAGAAAATAAAAACACACAAAAAGAATAGGTTTCTCACGATGTCACATAAACACACAATGAACACATACAATATTTACATATTATCTATATATCGTATATAATTTACTTGAATAGTATACAGTGTTGCTATTAGGTCTATAGTCAGTGTAGTGTATACTTAAAGTGGGCCAATTTTACTCCTACAATTCAACAGTTATAAAAACATGAATACACACACTGACGTTCTGTCACTGCATTTAAATAACTCAACCGAGTAGATTAGTTTGTGGTTCAACACCATGTTATAAATTAGTATTAACTTTTCTAGGAGCCATGGTGTTTCAGTGAGTAAGACGTTTGCTCAATAACCTGGATGTTTCACGTTCGATCCCGGTGTGGGTCGAGACAGTTCATCTGGATTTTCCGGCGTAGTCCTCCGTTGTCAGTGGAGCAGGACCGAAGGCCTGGCAAAGAACAACACACAGTCGTTGGGATGGGACGTAAAGTCGAGGTCCCGTGTACACATCGGCGTGCACGTAAAAGAACCCTTGGCAGCTGGAAGCTGGAATTCGATATAGGAGTAAGCCAAAGCGCCGCTGTCCGAGTACAATTTCTCTCATAGCAAACTGTATGCACGTCTTCATTAGCCCAGTCGGAGCAGAACAGTAGGACTTTAAAACCCCTATTTCATTTCAATTCTTGGGACAAAGAAACTTCGTAGCAGTTTTGACCGAACAAAGGGTTCGATCACAATGCCTAGGCTGCCTTCAACTTGGCTCAGTGACAAGAACTATTGGCTTCTGCTATCAGTGATATAGGTTAATGTTCCAATATTTTACGCTTCACATAAAATTGTTTGAATTTAAATTCAATATATTCGTATAGTAATAAAACTTACTTATATATAAGCAATGTAGTAACGAGGACCACACCCTTTTCTGACTAACCTGAGTGAATAATTTTCAACATATTCAATATTCAGCTAACCTTTTATTATGAGCATAAACAATTTATTATTGTTGAGTCAACCACACAGTTTGTGCAGGGTACAATCCACTCATGTTTGATCCTTTATAAGGACCGGATATTCTTCTTAGTGTTCAATAGCAAGAAACGTGCGATATGCCATAGATTAACGTAGGATATAACACCTGTATGGATTAGCAATACTATAACATTGGATTTAACGTCAGTTTAAGACAGGTAATTATATCGCATTTGGTTGTTCGTACATTATTTAATATATTATAGAAGATTGCACTTCGTATAGAGAAATGGGGTTTAACGTCCACTCGACACAAACTAGGTTATTTCGGGACTAACATATGGTTCAATTTTATTTCAATTATTCGCTTGTGCGTAGGGCTCTTTGACAGTGGGAGGAAACCGGAGGACCCGGAGAAAACCCACGAGCTTGGGCAGGCGACCCTACTCCTTGCCACGTACAACCGAAACCACGCCAGTTGACTCAATGACGGATCTTATGATACAACGCGCTAACCATTCGGATTCGGCCATCCAACCCCCTTTTAAACTATGTATGTGTAGTAGATTGTACTTGGTTGACATATATACGGGCGTTATTTATTATATATTTGTAGAGTGTGCGATTGCATTATGTGTATCAAGATTAAATGTGGTTGGTACAATGTATATAAATCAGATGAGGTTGTACTGTTAGGATTTGTTTAGCATCTCATCATAATACCAGATTATGCTTTTTTAATATGGCCACATGTGCAATGCTATAAGCAGAAAATTTTTGCCCATACAGCAGCCTTTCGGCCTATAGTCTGTCAATATGTGTTTCATTCTTGGCCCACGCCGAAAATCGAACCCGGTACATTAGCCCCCTACTGGGTAGGACCCACAGTACTTTGTTTTATTATGGATTTATGGCCACAACCATATTTTCCACCTTCGAAATAGGCAAGTGGTATATCGCTTGAAAACAGACCCGGTTTACAATACCATGCTTGCTAGAAAACTTTCAATTTTAAATTTTAATTGAAAAGAAATGACGGTTTTCGACATTATGTTTATCCGATTACACTATTTGTGTGCTTTTATTTCGTAAGAAAGTCTTATTCGATTATGCTTAAAGGCTTAATCGTGTAATTCATATCTATATGATATATCACTGATAAAATAATTTTAAAATAGTATAACGCACCAATTCTGTATTTTCTATATGATGGTAAGAGAACGCCACGTTTTATTAGAGAGAATAATGGGATTTTCTTTATGTGATTAATTACATTGTTCAGTTGAATCAGTACAGCAGCATTATTTATGGAGGGGGATCCTCGCCAAAACTCTCAATTTGTGAAAATACATTTGTCGATTTGTCAAAGTACATTTGTTAATTTGTCAAAATACAAAATACATTTGTCGATTTGTCAAAGTACATTTGTTAATTTGTCAAAATGCAAAATACATTTGTCGATTTGTGAAAATGCATTTGTTGATTTGTCATACAACAAAAATACATTTTTTCATGTGTGAAAATACCTGTCTAACCTACAAAGCACAAATTTTGAAATAACACAGCTTAACTTTACAGTTTCAAGATATGTAATTTCAACATTTGTATTTTCAAGATATGTAATTTCAACATTTGTAGTTTCAACATTTGCAGTTTCAACAGTTGTATTAACGACACTTGCATTATCGAGCCTTGCATTAACAAGCCATGCGTTAGCGAACTATGACCATATTTGGGTTGATGACGTTGATCATTAATCCGGAAAACGCCGAGTTTGGTCCTGCAATGATGTCTCCCGTCTCAATAAAAATATCTCTTCTTGGGTGGAGTTTTTCAAGGGGAACTACTCTCATTATTTCCGTTCTTCAACATGGCCAATGAACTTATTCATGAAGTGAAGTCCCGAATAGAGGGAATTTGCAATTTGTTAGATACACAAAATTTTCAATCGCTTTCAGACATCATACATGATATACATACAGTAGCAGGTATTGTCTCAGATTTAATGTGTTCCATGCCTTCCACGGAAGAAGACAGTATAACGATGAATGGATTACAAACTTGTTTATTTCATGTTCAAAATGCTGCAAATTTAATCGAACGAAAGCAGGCCAATGAAGTTATAACTGGATCTCTCGGACATTCATTGTCACCAGGACATACTGGACGACCATCAAAGTTAGTTCCATTTGAACAGCTAGAATTTTTGGTTTCTAATGGATTCAAATTGAATGACATGGCCAATTTATTTAATATTAGTCCCAGAACCATGAGTCGAAGATTGCTTGAATATGGTATTTCATTAAATGAAAAATATAGTCATATTTCCAATGATGAGCTAGATGAAATAGTAATTGACCTTCTTAGTAACTTTCCAAATATTGGGTATCGAAGTATAAAAGGACACCTGCACAGTAAAGGACATATAATTCAAGAATACAGGGTTCGTGAATCGATGAGAAGGGTTGATATAGAAGGTGTTCTCTATCGTCGACTTACTTTAAATCCAGTAAGACGAAGAAGATATTCTGTTCGTGCGCCAAACTCATTGTGGCATATAGACGGCTATCATAAATTGATAAGGTTAGTATTGACTCAATTACAGGCAGGGGCGGACTAAGCTTATTTATCAGCCCAAAGAGGGACTAGCAGTGCATGGCGTTGTATGCCGTGAATATTTGAAAATTCAATTGCTGGATGGGGGCCTGGTGTGGCCGAGTGGCTAGGACGCTTGCCGTTCATGGTGGGGGTCCCAGGTTCGAATTCTGGCGGAGATCGGGTCGACCTTGTGGATTTTCTCGACTGGGTTCCCCCTTGTCAGGTGGGGAATGACATGGAAAAGCGTTCTAGTCCATTGGATAGGATGAAAAACGGAGGCCTGTGTTCACTAAGCTACGAGAGGGCATGTTAAAGTCACCTCGGCAGTTAAAATCGGTAGTGAGAATAGGGTGTTGCCGCTGCCTTAGCAAAATTTACCCTCATTGCACACGCTTGGCAAATGCCCGTCTCTAGTTAGCCTATAAATTAGTGCAGAAAAATGGGACGTTAATCTCCATTTCATTTCAATTGCTGAATGTGCAATCTTCGCTTTAAAACTGACTATTAACATGCATAAATTTTTGAAAGGCCCTTTGGGTCGGGACCCAACTGGTTTTGGCCAGGTGTGTCCCCCTCCATACCTGCTTACAGGTGATATACCGTTTTGTAATGTAAGCTTATAGAATTGATTTAAGAGTCTTCGTACTGTAGTAATCATTGTTGATTTCTGACTCCTGTTAAGTGAGTTCGCTTACTCAAGATAATTAATCCAAAATCCATATTTGGATTTTTAACACCCATTCGAAACCAGCTATTCAATATCATTAATGTCAGACTGGTTTATGATATATAGGCTTACTGTATTTGTATGACTAGTATAATATTTTATATGGGTTGCATTTTTCGAAACACGATGGAATGGCGGTTTGTCAATTACCGGTATATTATATATTGTATCTTTAACATTAACTCATCGCAGTTCAGTTTGATTAGTGGTAGCTGAGTAATGATCATTTGTATATTTTTTCCATATCTTTTAAGCTGGCACTTAGTTGTTCATGGAGGTATAGACGGTTATTCTCGCCTCCCTACATATTTAAAGATTAGCAACAACAATAGAGCAGAAACTGTTATGCAAGCATTTAATGAAGCTGTTCAAAATTATGGATTGCCATGGAGAGTTAGATCGGATAAAGGGGGCGAGAACGTTCGTGTTGCAGAATATATGATAAATTCCAGAGGTTTTTGAAGAGGCAGCCATATTACTGGAAGAAGTGTCCATAATCAGAGGTAAATTTAGTACGTCTGCATTAATATGTTCGATTTTATGTTATACATCTGTCTGTTCGCATTATCCTTTGAATAATAATTTTCAAGTTATGGTCCTTGATCCCATAAAAATATGCCAAGTTTAAATGGTTTAAAATCTTGATAGTTAGTCAGTGTGAAGCATCATACAGAATGCCCGTATTATTGTTTGGAACATGTTTCAGACTTCTTCCACTTGACTACAGTATTAAGAGGTTTCAACTATTATAAACGATAATCAGCAGTCTTCGTGCCATTCGAGGGTTTTCATTAATATTAAAGATATGTGCAGTTTTGCGTTAACCAATGGATATGTAACATTTATCACCTAATTAGAATTTTAAACTTGTGATCGTATATTAGCGTTCAGAAAACGAATGTCATGTTCAATATTTGATACGATTCAATAACAATCACCAGAGTTACTGCCCTTTGTTTGTAATCTAGATTCCAGAGTTTTAATGTGTCTTTGTCGTCATCAAATGTAGGTAAAGTAGTTTGTTCAAAAATCAAATTATGTACCATTGTCTAGACTTTGCTAAAAACATTCATTCTGTGACTTTGTGTGGTTTCATGAAAGGAATGTTGACAATTTGTTGCTCTGGTGTCATTTTCAACAACCTGTTCATATTTTAACAGTGAAATAGATCATCACACTTAATTTTTTTTTTATTTCAAAGAATAGAGAGATTTTGGAGAGATTTGTGGATGGGATGCATCAGTTTTTTCTACTACCTTTTTTGCTACATGGAAGCAGAAAACATATTTATACCAACTGATGAAATACATATTCAAGCCCTACACTATATCTTCATACCAAGGATTCAAAAACACTTGAACGAATTTAGAGAGGCCTTTATCAGGCGATCTATTAGGACAGCTAATCAGAAAACGCCGTTACAGTTATGGATAGATGGTCAAATCCTGGATCCAAATGAAAATCTTGCTTCTGAGGTATATTTTCATTGATATGTTTATTCAAGAAATCCAGATTAATATAATCTTTCATTTTTTGACAGTGGTTAAGATTATGCCTAAAAATATTCAAAAATTGGAGGGTGAGATTTTGGGATATTTTAATTTCCATAGCAAACAAATGATTTAATCTGTTAATGATAAGATAGAAGTCTCCAACCTTATACACCCCAACAACTGTTATTATATCCCAGAAAGTTTCAAAACTTTTCGTTGAGAACTGTGATCTCTATCGTGTAAAGAAGAAGTTTTTATGGGCATGCACAATAACTAGTAAAATGAAACTTTCAACCTTTTCAAAGATAAGATACAACTTTTAAACTAGCATATTCATAATCAGTGACCTCAATAATATATAATTAATTGCTTGCTTCGTCAGAATCAGATGATTTTGTGACTTGACCTAATTTTCGCCATTTTTATAAACAATTACAGCAACTCTGGTCTCTATCACGTTTACAAGGTTTCGTGAATCAAGGTCAATAACTCTGGAAAACATTGAATTTCGATAGGCTTCTTCCTTATGCTGGTATAAACAACTACAGCAAGTTTCGTTAAAATTCTTGTTTACAATATGAAATAAACTTATATCTTAAATAAACCTATAAATTCAATCCCAAACAGACGTTCATTAGATTTTAAATATTTTTTTATAGGCAGACTTTCAAAGTTACGGAACAATACAAAATGGTTTGATGGCATATGATGATGAACCAGAAAGAGTTGTTATTGGTCATTTTCCTATATCTTTAACTGATCAAAAGATGGAAGAATTGATGTGCCAAATAAATCCTTTATTCGATTCAGAAAATCAGGGAATGGACTTGTTTCTTGCAACCGTAAATTTCATTTCTAATTATCATGAAATGAATTAGGAAATCAACACTGCTTTTTTTCAATTAATAGGTTTTTATTGGGTATTTCACCAACAGAGGCCCAGTTCATGCTACATACATTTTCAATTCAAACCAAAACCATAAGCACATACAATTATGTTAATAAAAGCATTTTCTAGGAAATCGTATTCTTTCATATATTTCGTTTGGTTAATAGTAATAGATGGCGCACATGTATTTACTGTAGTGCAGTTTAAATTTTCATGGTCAAATAGTAGTAGCCCATCTCCTATATTTGGAGATATGGCAGGGCTACCAGTTGTTGCCAGAAGAAAATGTCCAGTATTCAGTTGAACATCATCTTCGAGATCTGTTTCCATATCCAACCACTGGGTACTGATTTTTCCACCTAAAAATATATACAAACTTGTTAAATAATTTGAAACAAAAGACCATCAAGAAAGTTAACATACGCCATACAGCAGTTTAACTTCAAGGCAGCTACTAGTCTTCTATGAAGGGCTGCCGCCTGCCGGCATTCATTATATTTTAGAATGTATCAGTAAAATATTCATAACTAATTTCCTAATACATGCATAAACTTTAGTTTGAGCTATTTTCCGATATGCACAGGTAATGGATCTCAGCGACAGGTGCATGAACATTTCGACCCTTGACGGAGGGGGATCCTCGCCAAAACTCTTAGGCCCGTATTCTCGAAATTGGATTAGTGCTAATCATAGATTTAATCTCTGACTTTTCGACCAGCCATATTCTGAAAGGCTGATTAAATTTTAAGCTAAGATTTTTATAAACTTTGATTAGCCTAATCAATGAGTTAATCATTGTTCGAGAATACCATAAAATGTGGTATTCTCGAACGTTGACTTGTACTTAATCATTGACTAAATCACCCCAATGTTTAGTCATCTCAGGGGGGTAGTTTAAGGAAAGATTAAGTACATGCATATGCAATTACAATGTATTGAATATTATAGAAATTATTATTTTTCATTGAATTCAGACTCATTGCACTTATATTTCGCCTCAAAAGTAACAAATTTACATTCATCGTAAATTCTGTTGAAAAAGTTTTTTTTATATATATATTAAACATTCTCTATTATATAAAATATAATTATGTGCACTTTAGTCAAAATACAAATAATTTTTAGAAGTGTCAAAGAACCTTTAAGGAATTGCAAAGAGCGGAACAAATCAACCTATTGGCACAAAAGGGAACCCACAGCAGCTAAATCGTCCGGGCAGTCGACAAGGATTGTCACATTTAATTATCAGAAATCAATAGAATTTGTTTGGCTTCTAGTTCTGCCCTCAGCGAACATTTACTATACAAAATGTAATAGGCATCCTCCTCTCAGTTAGTTACCCTCATTGCACACGCTTGGCAAATGTCCGTCTCTAGTTAACCTAAACAGTGCATAAAAATGGGACGTTAAACTCTATTTCATTTCATTTGGTATTAGTGTTGAAAGTAGAGGTCATGTTCTAAGTGAGTTAGAATTGATTTATAAATTTTTTCAGTTTAGAAATCAATTCGAACTCATACATAAAGTCCTTTCAAAACTTAAAGCATACATTATTTCCTTCTAATGTTATTAAGTGTGGAACTCAATGATGAGTCTAAAAAAAGCTAAAGATCTCCTCTATCATCTGATAATATACAGTTGTGCATCCACCGAAATATGACAAGAAATTAAGGAGAAGAGATGGTGTAAGGTTGTACAGAATCCCGGACTATATAATTCTGGTTATTAAACTCTTTAAAAGTAATAACTTATACTTACGTTCAAGTTTCTTCAAAAACTGATGAAAATTGTACACAATTATCTCTTCTAACTCCTTGTCTTCTGGTTTAATTGAGAAACTAGGATGAAACAAATTAATTACATCCAAAGCCTTAACATCTGTCCGGCTAAAGTATTCGGTGGCTTCTGCTGAATACTGCATTAATAATTTATAAACACCATGAAGTTTGAGACCTAAAAAATATAAGATCTATGTGTATCTGTACAAATTAATTTATATCATTTCTATTATCACAGCCTTGAAATTTAATGCTGAGGGGTAAAAGTTGCATATATTGGATATATGCCATTTCAGTCTGTATAATTTCAAAATGTTTTTGTTGGGTTTGTTTTAAATTTTTGTTCATGTTTAAAAAAAAAAAGCACCATAAAAACACAATTACATTTCACAGCTCCACAAAGAGAACAATTAAGATAAGTCAGCAAATACTTTCATAGACTAACTTGGCGGTCCGTCAATTGGCCTCGCGACAATTGGCTCCCGACTATTTGAGCGGGTCAAATTGTCGCGAGGCCAATTTGTCGGGCCCAATTGACACAGACTTACCTTCTATGAACTGCAGTAATGGTGGCAAAAAACGATAAAATCCATAATGGCATCGAATCGCTAACATGGCTTCTTTTTTGTTTTCTAATGTCAACATCTTTTTATATCCTGCAGATTCCAATATATCAGCATTTTTCTCAAAAACCTCTGATACATTTAGAGCTTCTAAAGAATCAATCTACAATAGCAAAGATTAACAAGTGATAGCTTTGACAATAAATTTATATTTAAACAGGAGAGTAAGAACTACTTTTAATAAATCAAACAAAAGTTGAACATGCCATAGATTGAATGTACGCGAAGTCAATTATCTGACTTTTGGACAAACAATGGCCAATAACTTGTGTTCGCAAACATTTTTTACTACACAGGTAACAACTGTAGCCCTTATCGTGTTCACAGGCCACAATTTAATATGGACTATAAAATGAAAATTGTTTCATTTGAGCTGCAATTACCAACCTACCTCTTTAAGAGCTTGGAGAACATCTCCAGTTAACATTTCATCTGAAATTTCACCAACTGCAGGTTGTGCATTCTGAAGGATGAATTTAGTAAACTGTGGTAGAAGGCATCTTGGTCCTTGATTTCCCATTAAGATAGAAAAGGCAACAACTTTGCCTATAGTCTTGTATGTTTTATTCTGTAGTAGTGTTGAATTGATGGCAAAACCACTATTTTCAAAAATGGGAGTATGTTTAAAGATAAGAGAGAAAAACTCCCTTGTTAAGCCGCCTGCATCCACCCCATCTTCCCCTATGAATATTACATTTAACAGTTGATCAAATTCAAAATCTTCCAGATTTTCCATGGCTGTTTGCAAAAACATTTTTCTAACTACTGAGACATGGAATCTCTCCTTTACATTTTGACCAAAAATTTTCTCGGACAGTTGATGCAAATCATATTTTAAATTACCAGTCCTGAAAACAAAACCAACACATTTATCAATCGATTATTGCTCAGATACATTTAAACAGTATACAACATAATAATAGCAATATAGGTCTACATATAGTGATGTGGACATATAACATATAGCATGACATTCACCCAAAATGGCAGCGTTGTTTCATCAAGATCTAAATTGTGATGGAAAATGTTGATAACTGCACATTTTGCTAAGCTTCTTTGAAAACAGATAAACAATTCCAAGAGAAATTAAATTATATCGTAAGTATTAAAAACAAGCGATTGCCATGCGATATACGCCCACGGTAGCTTTGACAATAAATTTATATCTACACAGTCCAAATGAATGAAATGAAATGGAGTTTAACGTCCCATTTTTCTGCACTAACTAGGCTAACTATAGACGGGTTGTACACAGTCGAGTAACTGACTACGTTTATCGAATCATCATAAAATTCAAATCGTCCTAGTTTCATTCAGATCGGCCAAAAACTCTGGCTCCAAAGAGCACACAAAATCTAAAATACAATTTTCAGGCGAAATAAGGGCAATAACTGTAATGATTTTTATCGCAGCGCACCCAAATTCGCACTTGACCTTCAAGTTACAATTTAACCAAGATCTTACGAATATGAACCTCAATACCAAATTTGAACGAAATTGATTTAAAAGTATGAAATTGTGGATGGGCCGACGGATGGAAGAGACAACGACATTATACTACCATATTAACCTTTGGTGTATAAAAAATATGACATAAAAATGAAGGTATAATATAATATATTTAGAGATACCATTAAATATGTGATCCGCATGAATAGTTTTTCGAAAGTGAAAATGCAAACATGTTTCTATAAACACACAAAGTATAAAAGATATTATATTATAGGAATAAAAAAATTGTTTACTGTGTCCTTCCTTCGTCTGTTTTCTTGTCATCTTCGCCGCAAGATGCAGCATGTATTTCAACTAATTCCTCATCAAATTCTAGACCGCAAATTGGGCAAGATTTCAGGCTGTAAATTAAACAAAAGTAGAGGCTGATAGAGATGGGCCAAATAGTATATCGGATATACTGTATAAACTGTGTGGTGTCAGTATTGTGTCAATACATGCACATCAATGCCTACTATTGTGCAAAAAACAATACCGTACCGATATCGAATTTGAAATTTCAATACCTCCTATAACTTAACGGGGCCATCCCACATGAAGACAATATGCAACCAAACACTGTTTGTGCGTATAAAAATATGCATATATTTTTGTTAACTCTAATAATTTTCTTTTTAAATTGGGAACTGGAGAGGCCACAGATAAAGTGTAAATGAAACAAGACTATCTGTCTCTTATGGAAAATGTTAAATTCATGACAGATGTCTTATAACCATGATTATTATAATCCGTCCATATTATTGATAATAATAATACTCATCATTATCATTCAATATTAAAATTAAAACAAGAGTTAAACGCCAACAAAACAAGAGTTAAACGCCAACACAATATGCGCCCAAAACAGCAGCATTTTCTCATAATTAGACCTTATCAAGAAGCAAGGACAATAACCCTTTAAACAATATTTGGAATATAACTGGACTTACACCATGTTTATGAACTTACTAACCAAGTATATTCCAAAATACATGCAGTCTCTGGACATTAGCAAGTTTTGGAAAAAGGGCAATAACTCTCCATGTTACTTTAGAATCATAGCCAAGACACAACTTATCCTATACCTTATGGCTATGAACTTACATACCAAGTATGAACGAAATCGGTTGAAAACTCTAGGCGTTGGAGTGGCCACAAAAATTCATGAAATTATGGGCAAAGGCAATAATTCTGCAAGTTACGTTCAAAATGCGAACTCACATACCAATTATTAACAAAAT